TAAGAGATAATTAAAAGAACGTCTTATTGGGAAATATGAATTTGTGCGATCGTTTTTTTAATTAAATTATGAAGTAAAATATTTTGGGCAAGGTTGTATCTATTTTTCTGCACTTTTAAAAAATGTGCAGTAATAATTTTTCTATGTAGCAATTATTATATGTATAATGATCTATTATGGAATAATTGAAATTAGTATTCTTCAAAAATACAGCACAGTATTCTTGTTGTTGTAGATCAATACTTCTGCACATTTACAGTGGTTTATTTATCAATTACAAATGGTCAATTTACAAATTAACACTGTTGATTTGCAATAAAAATTCGGAAAATTTTAACAGTTTATTTTACGATAATGTATTTATTTATACTGAAAATATCAAACCAGCTGAATGGAAAGATCAGCGTGCGCTACACACAGCCTGCGCAAGTTGCGGTACACACGCGTGTACTCCAAGTAAATTTCACGCCGAAATTTCTTAAAGGGCCGCGCACTCTCTAATCTGTCTTTAACACATCAGAACAGAATTTCTTAAAGCGTTGCATAAACTAAGCTGCGCAAAGTAAGAGGATAAGCACGCAATTCCCGGCCGTAACTCCACTTTCAGCGTGAGTTAAAGTCCTGCTCCATTATTGCCCAACACGAAGTGCAAGCAAACTTTTAACTTCGACTAAACTTCAAATTGCAAGCTGTGTTCCGTCTCGTAGAAGAACCGAGAACATTTTCATTACACCGGTTTAACGTTACTCCGAATGACAGTGACAATTCGAACGATCAATCAGTATCATTACAATGGTTAAGTGTACTGATAAAAAAAATATCACAGAACTGTCCTGAGTAACAATGGGGATTTCTTTTCTTCCGTCGTTGTTTAAAGTGGCCATCCGTTATTTACGTGTATTAATAATTGTGTGAAAAATAGTATTCGAGCTTGCAACTTGCTATGTGATTTAAATTTGCGATATTTTAGATTGTCCTTTATGGTGGATTTATTGCTTCAGTATTGTTTATCGGTGAATTTTTGGAAGATTGTGCATTTTATGGTTGAATTGTATAGTATCACATATATTGCATAATGGGAAGGGTTAATTTTAGCACGGAAGTAGTAATGCCTGATTTTCGTACGCGTGAGCTTTATCGTTGATCTTACTACTTGATTATATCTCGTTAAGAGATTCCACGAAGCTAGGAAGCACAAACATGCACTTACGCACCTTCGCGATTCCTTTTACCGAAAGTTAACTGTCTTGTCGTTTAAAAAAGATATACTATGCTTTAATTATTTACAACACGTCATAAAAATCACTAAAATTGCCTAGGAATCTCTTCATCAATCCACAGAACTCTTCAGAAAGGTCCTAGTGTTTCAAGAAAAATTCGTCAGAAATCCTTAATCTCTGTGTATTATACATACAATATTTTATAATATTAATTTTTTAAATAACTAA